TATCCATTTTAGTGGCAAAGTTCCACTTTTGTAGCAGAATTTAAGTCAAGTCTGAAAATTTCTGGGGGGGGCTCGAGCCCCCCCTGCCCCTCCCCCTGCCACGGGCCTGAAATGTGAGCGAAATCGAATTTTCGACCCTTGCCGAGTTATTTGCCATTTTTATGGACGGGGACTCTTAATGTTTGGCGTGAAAAGCATAGCTGACATTTCTGAAATTTCATGTCTGCATTTCGAAGGGAGATAATGGCCGTGAAAGGAAGTAATAGCCACCAAAACGTTTTTTGAAAATCGTGAGAAAGGAAATTATTGAAATTACTTCTGTATGATGCGGTCATGTAGTCAACAGTGTTGAAAAACTGACAAAAGCTGATCCATTTAGTAACGATTCCTGATCTACACAACCTTGCTTAAACGTAGATAGAATTTTAATATTTGTCGCAGTCAAGATCAAATAGAGAGCTGCGTGACAGATACTATCTGTAGATCTTCTACGGACGTTTAGGAATTTAAGCTTTCATTTAGTAAAGACGATGGAGGTATTCATGAAGAGCTTTACTTCTGTTAAACTTAAAGCTTTCTGGACTGAAAAGCGTGGTGTAGTCGCAACGAAACGGACGAGAAAATCAAATGTTGTTTTTCGTGAAAGTCATTCATCAACGACTGCTTGCAACCCTGTAAAACAACGAGTCTGCCCCCCCCCCCTTAATAAATAAGAAACACACTCTAACTCCGCATCAAATCAAAATTTATCATGCTCAATTCGTGAACATAAACACCTTTCTACCATTTTGCGATACAATGACTCTCTATAGCTGTTCAGAAAGCACTCCCCGGCTAACTAACATCTAATTGTGTTGACCATTTTGCCTGGCGATGATATCTTCTGGTGAGTTTTCCGGTCCGATCGCCAATTATGCAAACTGTACAAACAGGTCTTTCTCCCTCGAAAGGCCCAAACTTAACCCAATCGATCACGTAATGAGCTACCTCAAAACACAGACTTTTCGCCAATCGCATTGGAGACCCTTATAAACACATCTGTGCAGGATAAATACCCTCCTTCCTTTGCTTTGCTCTGCCCTTCATTCAATGACTATTGATTGTAATCGTTGAATGTTGTCCTTCAGTAACATTGTAGATAATGACAAAAGTTCAAAAGTTCAATTGAAGCCTTAAACTACTGTAAAAATCTTTACAAAAAAAAAAAAAACTTTTAAAATCCAAGCTTTCGCCGATCCACTGCTTCATCAGGGATAAGAAAAATATTAATTCCGCGTGAGGTTTAAATACAAATGTAGGGTAAAAACGTGTGAAAAGCGAAAGAATGTGGAGAGTTATATGCATAAGATAAATAATAAGGTACAAATATGAATAAAAAACTGCGAAGAAATCGTTTGCTTGACGCTGGCTGGCTCACAAATTTGCCGCGGTTTTAAGGAGCATGACCTGATCACGTGCGAGTCGAAAGTTCAAGTTGTTGTTTCCCTAGGGAGTTACTGAGTTTTGTTCGCCCAAGGGAGTTAGTGAGTTTTGACCCACAACACGTGACACGTTCTCCTCCAATCGGAAAACGCATTTGAGTTGAGAGGTATAACAAAATAATTTAACGCCCGGCAACTATTCGCTAAAAGATACGTGTAGGTAATGGTCTAAGAAAATATCGCATTTTATAATCCATCAAATATTTTCGCTCGCGCGCGATTAGTCTAAACGCGTCACGTGACCGAGTATTCCCCAGCTAAAACTGGGAACATCCAAGAATATTCCCCAATTTTCAAAACTACGTGTGTTGCGAAAAATATTTGAACGATAATAAACACAATAGCCTCCATTTGACTTTGAAAATATGTTCGGGTATTTGTCCTTGGACATTATCTATTCCTCAAAGCTCACAGTTATCCTCGAGCTACGCTCTCGGAAAACTGTTCGCTTCTCGGAACAGATAATGTCCGCGGACAAATATCCGAGTACATTTTCGCGCCAAATGGAGGCTTTTGTTTATGCAGCCATTATTCTATCTGTGGGTTTCTCTACCTGGGTGTAGTAGTAACATACTGGCAAACTGTTGAGAAAACCTGAGTAGGTGCTGTGGTGGATTCTGGGGTAGAATAGCATATCCCATTTACGCTGTCCAAGTTGTTCAAAGGATGGATAACGCTATCCAACGGGACAAATCAGTAGCCAGCGGATAGCAATGTTTTGTCAAGATTTATCCACAGGATAGTGATTTATTCAGTACATAACGTTATCCACGCTATGAACAACCGGTCTGGTCAACCATAAACAGGGCCCAACGTTGACGGGGTTTTTTTTTCAAACTGTACATCTAGTCAACCATAAACAGGGCGCAACATTGTTTTTTTTTCAAGCTGTACATTGCTTTCCAGGTAGAGAATCTGACTATCGCTGTGTATTAAAAGAAGATGGACAAGAAATTTTGATGCTAGCCATTTCGTCTCTTGAGGCTGCCATAGGACTCTTGAAGAATGGAGCTATAGAAGTTCAAATGCTAATTCTACTCAAGGATTATTCAGAACGATTTCTATTGCTCTGCAAGCAGATCAGCAAGGACGAAAATGAAAGTTCATCCTTAAGCCATTTGTTGAATCAACGTTGTAGTGAACTCATTGCATTTCAGCGGGAACGGAACAGCGTTTCTGCCTTCTTAAGGATGTGCTCATGTATCGAACAAGGTAGCTAAATCTTGCTGCAATGGAAATTGTCCCTAGTTAATAGAGTTACCCTAATTAATAGGGTAGCTAGAAACCTTGGCACTAAAGTAAAGATTTTTGTTTTCTTTGTGTTTTGTTTCCTTTTTATAGTAAACCTCCATGAATTGTCAGGGAAGGTGGCGACAGACGCCTCTCGCCTATCCATGAAAGATCTTGTACGGTCAACAATTGTTGGTGGGAGAGTGTTGCCAGTGGTAACTTTCTTTGGTCTTTCTTCGGAGGCTAGGGAAATGATTTCAACTCTTAGTGAACTAAAGGACAGTATTCTCCTTAGGCAATTTTGGAAGGACAATGGGTACAAGGCACTTAAGAAGACTGGACAAGAAGCAGCCCAAAAGGTGGCCCGCAGTGTTGAAGATGTTGTGGAGTTGATTTGGACACCTTCATTTGAGCAGTTGCAGTCTTTGCAAAAGCGTTTCTTATGTGGTACGATTTCCTTTGAAGAGGTGGACACGTTTTTCAATGNTGAAGATGTTGTGGAGTTGATTTGGACACCTTCATTTGAGCAGTTGCAGTCTTTGCAAAAGCGTTTCTTATGTGGTACGATTTCCTTTGAAGAGGTGGACAAGTTTTTCAATGTCTTCAAAGGCAACCAGAAGTATGAAGATCTTACCAAAGAAATCAGGCTTATCACTTCAAGAAATGACGGTCAAGGGCCACCTCTAAATTCAACAATTGACGAGCGCATTCGGCAGATAGAGCAGTACCACAAGTTACATAACTGCATTGATGTTGCTAAGATTATCCTGGATTTCAAAACGAGTAATGGCCTGGAAGGAAATTTTCAAGTGGTAGAGGATCTGCTCAACCAGGTTTGTTTAAATTTAACTTAACTCTCTTACCAAATGGTTTGATAGAGAAGTTGCACTTCTTGATTGGTGTATGTTAACAGAGTTTTGAAAGCAAATGAGAGAAGGTTTTTTATTCGGAGTTTAGGGGGGAATGTTGGTAACAAATTTGAAATTTCAATATCAAATCTCAGTTTGAAGATTGGATGGTGTTATAAGTTCTGAATCTGGCATTGACACCTAGTTCGCGGAACTGGGGGTCTTGAAATAACAATTAATGGTAAATTAAGTTTAAACAGAAAAATGCACCCGTGAAAAATGGAGTGGTGTTTCTCCCACGCCAAGGTGGGAGGTGGCATGTCTACGGTTAAAAACAAAACAGAACCATATAAAAGTTTCATTTTTTGATTATTTTCTTTTTGCAATCGGTGATTTCTTACATAGACGCATAGTGAATTCAAACAGCGGCCACTGAGAACCATGAATGCAGCATTGCGGGACGCTGGAAGACAGTTGTCCAGAATAACTCCTGGCCGTGCGCGCTGCCTTGATGCTGTAACCAGATGTCAACGTTTAATTGACTGGCTGAAGGAAACTATTTCAGGTACATCTATAAAAAAAATTGAAAAGTCTTGAATTTATATTATTTGCATTCATGAAGAGGTTTTCTTGCTTTTGTTTTTGAACTGTTGCTGTGACGTATGCGTAACTCCTGGACATAAGAACTGAGATTTGTTTGTGTTTAGCTAATTGCATTACTAGTCGTTTTATTAGTTCGTGATCTTGCAGTTCCATCCAAACCACACTTTTGTTAGTTTTGCATTAGTTCTCACTCAGTGCAGTCTGTTTCTGTTCAGGGAACAGTTAAAGTTAAGAAAGGAATCGACTTTTTAGTTCTGAAAGATTCCTGACAAGATGTTAGCTTAGTTTTAACCTCGTATTTATTGTTTTTAGTTTACGATATGATTTTGGATCTTTTTTTTCTCTTTTTTGTTTCCACATTTTTATTTCCATTCAACGGCTTACATCAATTTGTAAAAGAAAAAAATAGGCTAAAAATTAATAAATGGCTATTAAGTTTACATCAGTAGCTTACGTTATACTACAAGTGACAAAAAAGAAAACTACGCAGGAAAAAAGACAACAAGAACAAAGGACACACACAAAAATTAATGGATCTTGGTTGCTGCCATAGACTGCCAATTCTGGCTCAATAGGCCTTTTGCAACAGTTGGTCCCATCCCATCCAGGGGGGAGTAAAGATACTATCAGTCGCTTAATGCTACTGAAACCGGAGATAAGCGCTGACCGCATGGGCCACTTGGCTCTTATGCATACTTTATATTTTTACTTTTGCTTAGATGTTCAAAATAAGTGTTCACTGTTTTGCTTCAGTGCTGAACAGATATATTCATGTGTTCTCTACACTCCAATTGTTATGCAGTTATTGCATTGCGTCATTAATTCGTAAAAGTAGACGTTAAAAGTCCTAAGCCTGCTTATAGTTGAATAGTCTTTTGACAATTTTGTATTACAATTCTTGTTTTAAGCATTTTGAGTTTCTATTTCAAGGACCTCAAGAACTCAAGGTGCTTGTGGATTTGGCCATCATATCAGCTGGGGAGACAGACATGGAGACCGCAAGAATAACCTGCTTACATACCAGCTGCTTAGGATTTGCACCACTTATCTTCGATTTGAAACGTTCTTTTGGTTTTGACGATTTAATGAGAACTTGTGAGCCAGTTTGGACTGCAGTGGATACAGATCCCACGCTCCCTACAAAACTGGTATGGCTGTTATTATGTAGTTATGACCGTATTGCCCCGATTACCCTTACGTGATATTCCTTTGCCAAGTTAGATTCTGGTGGATTGCAATTCCACAAGTGATCTTTAAGGTGATTCCATCGAAAAAGAAGGAGAATTTGAAAACTGTCTCAAACTTTGTCCCTCGGTAATTATATAACGCATATTAAAAAAACCCAATAAAATGTGGGGGTCACCGTTCTTTTTTTGCACAATATGTACGCATGGTCATTTTAGTATCTATTAGACCTACGAAATTTTCCTTACGAACTTGAGTAATCCAAAAGGGGACTGTAATTTCTAAAAAAAGTCATTTCTTACAAAATAGTCTTGGGCCTTACATTGTAAACTGTTTCAATTGCAATGTAAAAGAAATTAAAGAATTCACTACATGCACCCACATCCTGAATTTCCTAAATACCTGTTCTTTACGGCATTCAAATTAAGACATCTCAAAGCAGAATTTTTTTTCAAAAACCGCGATATATTGTAGTCAGTCGTTTGGCATTTAAATCTATTCATTAAAAAGAGGGGCACCGTGCATGGTTAGGAGAAAACGATTATTTATTTCTCTTTTGAGCTTAGGTCAAAGGAAATCTCTTAATGATGAGTATGTCTGGGCAAATTGACGCAAGAGATTATGCTCAGCAAGGAAACGTAATGTAATTCAGTGGAATCGCTTTAATTCCTGATGGGAATGTGGTTCCACATTCCATAAGAATTTTTTTTGCTTTTCCGTTACCATGTCTTTTATGGAGACACTTTCCACATAGAAAAGTTTCAAACAATATGCACAGTTTTGTTGCCTTACACTTGTGCTAAACACACAAGTCTTAGTTTGATTAAATTATTTGTTTATGATCTGCAGGAGGACACCAGTCGTCACATGGATTGGCTTCAGAATGTCAAAACATCTCATGGTTCTGTGGCCATGTCCTCTCTTATGGAAGCTAAGACTATCAATGAACATGGCATCTACAGCGTTGGATGCCTTAATGAAGATGCGAGTTCATCACTAGTACAGGAACAATTAACGCTGCCCAATGTGATTAAGCTCAGAGTGCCGTCAGGTAAAACCGGGAACAGCAAAGAATATACACTCGATGATCTGAAGGATTTGCAAAGTAAGCTCATGCTTATTGCTGCTAAGGCGTCGCATGGCAAACAGGACGTTGACAGATTTGTTGATGTAAGTTTATTTTAGTCATCGTTTCAAGATTAATACGGCAAAGACAAACAGACAGATGACATACTTTTCGCATGAAAACATCACCTCATTGTAGCTAGGAGAGTGGCTTAGGTGAGGAACATATTACTTCCTTGAACCAGTACAAAGCTTGATAGACGTAATTTAATACATGATAAATCACGTTTAAAAACACTAGATATAAAAATAGTGCTAAAACTACATGTGCTCTTCCAAACTGTATGTCTGAAAATGAATAAGGGAACCTTCCAGGTCTTTACATGTTATCATTTTACAATGTAAAAACAAATGTTTCGCAAACATCGATATTACATTCTTCCATTTTGTGTTTTGTATACTCGTTAACGTCCCGTATGTTCTTGTTGAAAATTATCAGATTCTGCAATGTGTCCTGCGACTTGCCACAGTTTATATTTCACTTTGCAATGCTGGGGAAGTGAGTCACCTCAAGTGGAAACATGAATTTGATTGTACCCCAAGACTTGCCACCAACCGCCCTCTAATAGATGATTTGATGGATGAAAGTGTGCAAATGGAACAGTGTCTTCAGTTGTGGAAAGATGAACTACATGCCAAGCGTTTGCGGTACAGTGAATTAAATCACTTCACCACGCGGCAGTTGCTGTTCCTTCGACGTAAACTGGCCATTGTCCAAGGCAGAGGCCCCAGAGCAGTGGATGGCATTCCTCTTGAAGTGTATAACCTTTTGGAGAGCGTGTTACCAGGCATTGACCCGGCCACTCTGAAGTCTGTGCTTACATTTTGTGGTATATGTAGTCAAGAGGATGGCCAAGACATCATCAGGTCATATGGTACCAGCAGTAAACGTCAGCGACCAAGTGATAACTCCGACAGGTCTAAACTGTCAAAAGAGCTGCAGCCTTCAAACAAAGAAATGTTCCAGTCACTTGTTGCCAAGTTGGAGTTGCTTGGTTACTCTGAGGAGGTTGCCATAGCCGCAATGATCACATGCAAAGATGCCACGGAGGCAGATCTAATTGTGTGGTCTGTCCAAAATGGAAACAACGAAGATCTGATCAGTGCTAAGCACTCAGAGGCACAGAATGATCCCAGATATTTGCAGCTAATGGATAAGGATAGCACCACATCTCGGGAACAAGAAAGGTAAGATGTGAAATATATGATCATGACTCATTGCCATCTTGTCATATTTAAGTTCACTTTGGGAAGAACTTTAGTTACCTCCTTTATTTTGACAGTTGATACAGTTTAGCCATTAGTAACTAGTAGGCAGAAAGTAAGGAGGGCACTGCCTTCTTTCTAACTCGTATGCACGATTCCTGTTCCTGCTACATATGGATGGCAGCAGAATGAAGAGACAGATTAGGCAGTGAGGCATTGCATTCCTTTTTACTATACTCTATGTACATTTGATTGTACCATGAATTGCCTGTTGCACTATACTGCTAACACCGCGTTTCACTCTAGTCCTGGAGAGGAAGATATGACAGATGAATCAGGGGATTCATCAGAACCAATGGAAACTGCTTTCACTCTTGACCAGACAGCAGATGGGGAATTTCTCAGCCTTGATGACTTAGGAAACCTTTTGCTCCACCTTTCTTCACAAGGTTTGCTGTGTTTGCATACGCTTTAGGGCAAATATCATTTGAAGGGAGTCGTGGAACCACTGCATTATCCTTTGTGCATATAAGCAAGAGTATACAAATACAAACAACACTATAAAAACCTGTCAACTGGGCTGGGACTTAAGTGGCTATTACGACTGACTTGTAGCTTGCTCTGATCGTCGTTAACAGAGTATCGCATTCCCTGAAGTCAACATACTACGTTACAGCCACCGAAATGTTAGAGGCTGATCACAGGACTACCAGACGCATGATGTGATTTCAATCTTGCAAAATTACAGCTTCAATTCAATGATAAGAAGTTCAGATTTAAGAACTGGACACCATCACATTGCAGCTATCTTATTATATTATTTTGCAGCTTCTAAAAAAGGACGAAGACGCTTCCCAAGATACCTGAAGCGTGGAAAGCCAAATTTTGTGATTGTTCCAAAAGGTATCAACGAGATATGGATTTTGTTTTCTTCTGACTTCTCTAGCTGCGTTATCCTATTTTTGTCTCATCATTTTGTCTCCATCTCTTACTCTTTGGTAAATGCGTGTTTGCATCACATTTGCAAATAAGAACACACGCTACTTATTATTACTTACTTCCCCCCTTTATTATGGGTTACAAATTAAGTCAATTAAGTTGTGAAGTCGTTAATCCTTCCGTGTTCGTTTATTTTTTTTTACACGTAAAATGTGTATAACAGATGACATTTTTGGAACTCTGCTGTCCTTATACATGCATGATAGCTCACAATCTCTTCCCACATCTGAAGAAGTCTTGATCTGCACATCTGATACAACTGCAGAAGAGGTGGGTAACGATAGCCTTTTGAAATGCGTGAATTGTAAATTATAAGTCTTAGAATATACTAAAAAAGAAAGTGAGGAACAATTAATCTGGTTATTTAATCTTGTTTCTTTCTCTCAGGTAACTTTGAAACTCTGTTAAAAGTTCAACACTTTTACGCGATTGTAAACTGATCAAATAGGTGCACAAACGGGTCCATTGTCCTGAAATACTTTTGTCCATCGTCTTTTATAGATTGAACTGTTATGGAGACGATCCCTTGGTGACCAAGATGGCAGGTTGTTTTGCTTAGTGAACGTTGACCTGCTTGACTACACTGTCTCCCAGAAAGCTGCCAATGCCTTAGGATTTCTACTACAGGAGCGTCAATACAATCGCAATGAAGGTAATTTGAAACTAGATTGACATCACAGTTATCAGAAACTAGTTAATTAGCAGCCACATTCTTGCTATCCCATCACTAATGTTCTGTTCAACTAACTAGTAGAAGTAAAGCAGAAACTATTTTCCAGGGTTGAAATATCAGAGGTGTTTGCAGGAACAGATTCATTCTTTTGTTTGGTTTGGCTTTGTTTGTTTCCAGTGCTGTCTGTAGTTTCCTTGTTTCATTCAACGGCAGTGATTCTCTTGTAGGGCTGTCTCTTGTGGTTATCTGTAGCTCTGAAAACGAAGACAGAGCTCACATGGCTGCAGCTCTTGATCAGTACAGACTAGGAACTATACCACATTGTGCATCACCAAAGGAAATCAGGCAATACCTGAAGACACAGTTCAAGCCATGCTCTCAACAACGGGGAAAGTTCAGAGATCAGATCCTGCCGTGGACTCCGGCTGCTGCATTGGACAAAGAGGGGTACGTAGTATTTAATGAAGCTTTCTTGACCTTTTGAATGCTGTAACGGTTTTAAAAACGATAGCTGAGAAAGTTTAATCTGGTATGACATACTGTCATGTATGTACTGGCAATGTCAAAAACGTAACCCATGCAAATTCCAACTAGTAACTTCCAAGGTAGCACTCATGGAACAGGAATTTTTTGGGTTTATCAATCATTCATTCAGATCATCTGTGTTGCGCCAAAAGTGTACTCACAAACACTGCATTACTTAAACTACGTGTTTAGAGGAAAGATGACTTTCTAATTAGAAAAGAATTTCAATTTTCCTGATGCTAGACAACCTAGTTTGTTGAAGAAAAGAAAGCGTAACATATAACGAGAGAATGAGGTTAAAATGGGGACTATATGATATTGAGAAGGGTATACATACGCCGTTTTTCGAATAGTGCCAAGCACTGTATCCCATTTGGCAAAACAAAAGTCAGAGATCTGGAAAAAGGCATTTTCAGTTACTGTGCTTTCGTATTTTCTTCCAATTTTCTGAAGAAATGTATATCGTCCTTGTACAGGCTGGCTGTGAGAGTTCTGTCATCTGAACGAGCAGGAGCTGGGAAGAGCTTGGTAGTTTGTCGGCTCAGCCAGAGCTTACCTGGACTTAAAAACAATGAAACAGTGGTGGACTACCTAAGAGACATGGAGGCTGATGTGCCACTTTGTATCACTGTACCAATTTATGGACCTTTTGTTCATCAATACACCATTGCGGAGTCCTTGTTACCCCACACGATTGTTCCTGATTTGCCTCTTTCACGAGTTTTCCATCTTGATGTGCATCCGTCGGTAGGGGAATACTTTATCACTCCAGATTTATTCCCGACCTGCCTCGTTTTGACTACTTGAAATTTATTTCTCCGTATGTTTGGAGGTGTTAGTGTCATTATTCTACTTTGGTGAAAATTTTTCAGGTAAAAAGTGGCCTTGACACGCTTCTATTCAATCTGCTAGTCCTTGGTGTGTTAGAGAGCAGCAGTGGCCAGGTCTGGAGGAGGAGACCCTCTGATTTGTATGTGATTGAACTAACTCCAGGACCATCACAAAGCTCAAATGAAACTATTGAAAGAAGACTTCCGATCACCAAGGTAAGTACCGCTGAGAATTTCACTTAACGAGATCTTGAGGGTATAGCTGACCTGTGATTGTTTTGCTTGACAGCGTAATAGCTCCAAGAAAGTCATAGCAGAACCATTTTACAGGCTGCTTCCTACCATTCACTGTGGAACACCAATGCAAACATTATTTCAACTGAGAAATCCAGTAGGTAAGGAAAATAAATTCATGTTATAACAGTATTGAAAAAATTTCATAATGAATTGTTTCAGTTAGTTTTATGCTGTCCATTTTCAATGCACACTCTCACAAATCTAATGGACAACACAGTATCAAGCGGTAAAATAGTGTTACAGTGCTTTTCCGCTTGCACCATAGTACTTGCCCAGGAGATGCAGACATCATTATAACCTTATCTGTATCTGGATTTTTATGCAGCTGGCAACAGTCTCAACCCTCTCTTTGACAATGCTGAATTCCAAAGCTCTTATGTTCAGCGTGCGTTTCAGTACCTTAAGCTATGGGAATCAGCTGGCGATAGTCTGGATCATTTCTGGTTCTTACCAGGTCAAGTGATGGGTGACCACGCAGAGTGTATAGAGACACTCACCAGGTGATGATTCCTTTGATCGAATTTTTCAGTATGCGTATGGGTGCTGTTTATTCAGAGATCCCAGAGAAGAGTAAAAAAAAAAACAGGACTAAATTTTGTCTCTGAATTGCATTCAATAAATCATTGTATGATGAAGTTCATTGTTTTGTTATTCCACAGGTCTCCAAGAAATGAAAAGTAGAAGAGCAGTTTTAATTCCACGCTAAACTGCATCAGATTGTTACCACAAAATTAACAATACTTTCTTTTGATGGGCAACAAAAAATTAACCCTTGCTTGCGTACATGTCAAGATTGGAGCATTTGTAAGGATTCAAAAAAGCATTTGCTTCTTTCCCACGCGCTTCCCTATACAATGTAATCTCTTAACTGATGTGCGAAAACAAACGATTTAACCAAAACCATTCTTTATCACTTGATGCTACAATCATGGTATAAAAAACTCCCCAATTATTGGTGAACACGTTGTTATCATTTCCGTGACACAATAGGTTACCATAACAAAGGTATGACCTGCTAAAAACACCCTTAATTCAGCTTTAGGGGCTTATAATTCAAAAACGGCACGGTGAAACGTTTTTATATTATCAAATTTTGATAAGCAAAGTTTTTAACAATATCTGTACATAGGGTTCAGAGCCACCTTACAGTTTAAAATTAAGGTGGCTCTCAATCCTATGTACAGAATCGTTTTAAACTTCGGCAAAAGTTGCGTTTTATCATGCTTATCAAAATTTGACAATATGAAAAAAATTCACCGTGCCGTTTTTGAATTAAAAGCCCCTAAAGCTGCAATTGGTCATACTGTTGCTACGGTAACCTATTGGTCATGTTAGACATACCGTTGCTATGGTAACCTATTGTGTCACGAAAATTATAGCAACGTGTTCACCAATGATTGGGCAGTTTTTTAATACCATGGTTGTAGCATTAAGTGGTAAAGAGTGGTGATAACGACCTATCAAATTCTAAGTGCTGAAAACTGTTTTGAGCCACCTTGAAACAAAAAGGAAGCAGTGTAGTAAAACTAGCATCTCTTCAACATATGTTCAATAGCGAAATAATGCTACTTCCAATGAATTAACAGAAAGTGTAAAGTAAGGTTTCGCTTAGATGCTAGAACTTTCCAATCCTTGTAATAATTAGGTTTTTCAAAATAGCAGTNGGCCACTCTGAAGTCTGTGCTTACATTTTGTGGTATATGTAGTCAAGAGGATGGCCAAGACATCATCAGGTCATATGGTACCAGCAGTAAACGTCAGCGACCAAGTGATAACTCCGACAGGTCTAAACTGTCAAAAGAGCTGCAGCCTTCAAACAAAGAAATGTTCCAGTCACTTGTTGCCAAGTTGGAGTTGCTTGGTTACTCTGAGGAGGTTGCCATAGCCGCAATGATCACATGCAAAGATGCCACGGAGGCAGATCTAATTGTGTGGTCTGTCCAAAATGGAAACAACGAAGATCTGATCAGTGCTAAGCACTCAGAGGCACAGAATGATCCCAGATATTTGCAGCTAATGGATAAGGATAGCACCACATCTCGGGAACAAGAAAGGTAAGATGTGAAATATATGATCATGACTCATTGCCATCTTGTCATATTTAAGTTCACTTTGGGAAGAACTTTAGTTACCTCCTTTATTTTGACAGTTGATACAGTTTAGCCATTAGTAACTAGTAGGCAGAAAGTAAGGAGGGCACTGCCTTCTTTCTAACTCGTATGCACGATTCCTGTTCCTGCTACATATGGATGGCAGCAGAATGAAGAGACAGATTAGGCAGTGAGGCATTGCATTCCTTTTTACTATACTCTATGTACATTTGATTGTACCATGAATTGCCTGTTGCACTATACTGCTAACACCGCGTTTCACTCTAGTCCTGGAGAGGAAGATATGACAGATGAATCAGGGGATTCATCAGAACCAATGGAAACTGCTTTCACTCTTGACCAGACAGCAGATGGGGAATTTCTCAGCCTTGATGACTTAGGAAACCTTTTGCTCCACCTTTCTTCACAAGGTTTGCTGTGTTTGCATACGCTTTAGGGCAAATATCATTTGAAGGGAGTCGTGGAACCACTGCATTATCCTTTGTGCATATAAGCAAGAGTATACAAATACAAACAACACTATAAAAACCTGTCAACTGGGCTGGGACTTAAGTGGCTATTACGACTGACTTGTAGCTTGCTCTGATCGTCGTTAACAGAGTATCGCATTCCCTGAAGTCAACATACTACGTTACAGCCACCGAAATGTTAGAGGCTGATCACAGGACTACCAGACGCATGATGTGATTTCAATCTTGCAAAATTACAGCTTCAATTCAATGATAAGAAGTTCAGATTTAAGAACTGGACACCATCACATTGCAGCTATCTTATTATATTATTTTGCAGCTTCTAAAAAAGGACGAAGACGCTTCCCAAGATACCTGAAGCGTGGAAAGCCAAATTTTGTGATTGTTCCAAAAGGTATCAACGAGATATGGATTTTGTTTTCTTCTGACTTCTCTAGCTGCGTTATCCTATTTTTGTCTCATCATTTTGTCTCCATCTCTTACTCTTTGGTAAATGCGTGTTTGCATCACATTTGCAAATAAGAACACACGCTACTTATTATTACTTACTTCCCCCCTTTATTATGGGTTACAAATTAAGTCAATTAAGTTGTGAAGTCGTTAATCCTTCCGTGTTCGTTTATTTTTTTTTACACGTAAAATGTGTATAACAGATGACATTTTTGGAACTCTGCTGTCCTTATACATGCATGATAGCTCACAATCTCTTCCCACATCTGAAGAAGTCTTGATCTGCACATCTGATACAACTGCAGAAGAGGTGGGTAACGATAGCCTTTTGAAATGCGTGAATTGTAAATTATAAGTCTTAGAATATACTAAAAAAGAAAGTGAGGAACAATTAATCTGGTTATTTAATCTTGTTTCTTTCTCTCAGGTAACTTTGAAACTCTGTTAAAAGTTCAACACTTTTACGCGATTGTAAACTGATCAAATAGGTGCACAAACGGGTCCATTGTCCTGAAATACTTTTGTCCATCGTCTTTTATAGATTGAACTGTTATGGAGACGATCCCTTGGTGACCAAGATGGCAGGTTGTTTTGCTTAGTGAACGTTGACCTGCTTGACTACACTGTCTCCCAGAAAGCTGCCAATGCCTTAGGATTTCTACTACAGGAGCGTCAATACAATCGCAATGAAGGTAATTTGAAACTAGATTGACATCACAGTTATCAGAAACTAGTTAATTAGCAGCCACATTCTTGCTATCCCATCACTAATGTTCTGTTCAACTAACTAGTAGAAGTAAAGCAGAAACTATTTTCCAGGGTTGAAATATCAGAGGTGTTTGCAGGAACAGATTCATTCTTTTGTTTGGTTTGGCTTTGTTTGTTTCCAGTGCTGTCTGTAGTTTCCTTGTTTCATTCAACGGCAGTGATTCTCTTGTAGGGCTGTCTCTTGTGGTTATCTGTAGCTCTGAAAACGAAGACAGAGCTCACATGGCTGCAGCTCTTGATCAGTACAGACTAGGAACTATACCACATTGTGCATCACCAAAGGAAATCAGGCAATACCTGAAGACACAGTTCAAGCCATGCTCTCAACAACGGGGAAAGTTCAGAGATCAGATCCTGCCGTGGACTCCGGCTGCTAAATTGGACAAAGAGGGGTACGTAGTATTTAATGCAGCTTTCTTGACCTTTTGAATGCTGTAACGGTTTTAAAAACGATAGCTGAGAAAGTTTAATCTGGTATGACATACTGTCATGTATGTACTGGCAATGTCAAAAACGTAACCCATGCAAATTCCAACTAGTAACTTCCAAGGTAGCACTCATGGAACAGGAATTTTTTGGGTTTATCAATCATTCATTCAGATCATCTGTGTTGCGCCAAAAGTGTACTCACAAACACTGCATTACTTAAACTACGTGTTTAGAGGAAAGATGACTTTCTAATTAGAAAAGAATTTCAATTTTCCTGATGCTAGACAACCTAGTTTGTTGAAGAAAAGAAAGCGTAACATATAACGAGAGAATGAGGTTAAAATGGGGACTATATGATATTGAGAAGGGTATACATACGCCGTTTTTCGAATAGTGCCAAGCACTGTATCCCATTTGGCAAAACAAAAGTCAGAGATCTGGAAAAAGGCATTTTCAGTTACTGTGCTTTCGTATTTTCTTCCAATTTTCTGAAGAAATGTATATCGTCCTTGTACAGGCTGGCTGTGAGAGTTCTGTCATCTGAACGAGCAGGAGCTGGGAAGAGCTTGGTAGTTTGTCGGCTCAGCCAGAGCTTGCCTGGACTTAAAAACAATGAAACAGTGGTGGACTACCTAAGAGACATGGAGGCTGATGTGCCACTTTGTATCACTGTACCAATTTATGGACCTTTTGTTCATCAATACACCATTGCGGAGTCCTTGTTACCCCACACGATTGTTCCTGATTTGCCTCTTTCACGAGTTTTCCATCTTGATGTGCATCCGTCGGTAGGGGAATACTTTATCACTCCAGATTTATTCCCGACCTGCCTCGTTTTGACTACTTGAAATTTATTTCTCCGTATGTTTGGAGGTGTTAGTGTCATTATTCTACTTTGGTGAAAATTTTTCAGGTAAAAAGTGGCCTTGACACGCTTCTATTCAATCTGCTAGTCCTTGGTGTGTTAGAGAGCAGCAGTGGCCAGGTCTGGAGGAGGAGACCCTCTGATTTGTATGTGATTGAACTAACTCCAGGACCATCACAAAGCTCAAATGAAACTATTGAAAGAAGACTTCCGATCACCAAGGTAAGTACCGCTGAGAATTTCACTTAACGAGATCTTGAGGGTATAGCTGACCTGTGATTGTTTTGCTTGACAGCGTAATAGCTCCAAGAAAGTCATAGCAGAACCATTTTACAGGCTGCTTCCTACCATTCACTGTGGAACACCAATGCAAACATTATTTCAACTGAGAAATCCAGTAGGTAAGGAAAATAAATTCATGTTATAACAGTATTGAAAAAATTTCATAATGAATTGTTTCAGTTAGTTTTATGCTGTCCATTTTCAATGCACACTCTCACAACTCTAATGGAAAACACAGTATCAAGCGGTAAAATAGTGTTACAGTGCTTTTCCACTTGCACCATAATACTTGCCCAGGAGATGCAGACATCATTATAACCTTCTCTGTATCTGGATTTTTATGCAGCTGGCAACAGTCTCAACCCTCTCTTTGACAATGCTGAATTCCAAAGCTCTTATGTTCAGCGTGCATTTCAGTACCTTAAGCTATGGGAATCAGCTGGCGATAGTCTGGATCATTTCTGGTTCTTACCAGGTCAAGCGATGGGTGACCACGCAGAGTGTATAGAGACACTCACCAGGTGATGATTCCTTTGATCGAATTTTTCAGTATACGTATGGGTGCTGTTTATTCAGAGAT